ACTGATCCTCGAACTCTTGCTTCAGGTCCCTCGGTTCCATTGCTGTGTGCACACAGAAACACACACAGAGTGTGTGAGAGCAGGGGCTGAATCACTGCAAGCTATTATCATTAGTATTCATATAATTATTAGGAGGGGATCTTTTAATGACCAATATCAACTGGTCACGTTGGCCCAGATTTGACTCAAAACCAGATGGAATCTGATCTTTTTAATTTGGGTCACTCATACGTGGTCCAAATCAGATACAGGTCTGATTCTCTGCAATGTGACCTCAGTGTGAGCAGACACATCAGCATTCCTAATGTGGGTCACTTCAGGACCTGTTTACACTGGAATCTGATATTGGTCACATTTGAAAAACAATGTGAACAACTAAAAAACAATCAGATCTGAGAAAAAATAATTTTTCAGAATTAATTAATTAAGCGCCATTAGGTGTGTCAGACTTTATTTGTAGAGTTTGACACATAAGACAAAGTTCTCTGTTTGCAATGGAAGAAGTTATCCACTGCAACAGTACTTTTGGTGTCATAAGTCTATGGGTGGGCACTTATATGTGCATGCCACAATAAAAAACAGAAATAACTAACTAAAAAGATTAGGGTCGATATTAATCCGGCAAATGAAAATAAAAGCTTATAAAAATGGAAAAGGGGACAAAAATCCCCATGTGTTACAGCTTTCTATTCGTTGTGACATACATACATACATACATACGTAACTTTGAATAATGGCTGAATTCCATTTAGCTATTTTTTCCTGTCTTCTAATGGAGTCATCATTAGAGCTGCAGTAGGTAACTTTTTGCTATATTTGCTGAAACTTTCACTATATCCTGACAGTAGAACATGAGACAGAATCTGTGAAAATATCAGGTTCCTCTGGCTGAACAGATCACAGATTTTCAGCAAATATTGACAAAAAGTTATTTTTATTAAGGTTCCCTACTGCAGCTTTAATATTACAACAGTTGTGACTTTGCTACTATGAAAAGTCTAGTAGTCTGGGTGGCTGTGGTTGTGGTAGAGCTGGCCATCCACCAATCAGAAGGTTGTTCGCATGTAGAAGTATCCTTGACCAAGATACTGAACCCCAAATTGTGTGTATCGTGGGTGAATGTGAATGAATAAGTTTCTGTTTTATGTGGCACGTAGTGTAAAAGCACTTTNNAGGTCCATTTACCATTTATATTTAAATGTCTGCCAGGAAAATGGCTTATTCATGGAGATCTAAAACATATAACACTGATATCTGACATACAGTAGGCCTTACATATTTAACATTATTTAATTACCTCTAGCTGTGAAATGTATTTATTTTATTCATACTCTGTGTGTACACTGTGTGTTTTGTATATTGTGTTGTATGTCAACCATTGCTCATATACTGTACAGCACATTACATAAGAGCAACAGTAGCTCAGTGGAAATTAAACACTTTCTTACAACAAATAAATGTTTCTTGAATAATAATCAATGCACTTAAAAAAACACACATAAAGACGTCGTCATCATCAATAAATCAATAAATCCATGCAAGCAGCATATATTAATAGAAACAACAAACAAACAAATGACTAAACCAAAAAAAAAAAAAACATCTAAAATACAAGTTAAATTTGTGTTTTAATTAAAATATAACACAAGTAGTTCAGAGTTTTAAGGCACTTTTCTTTTTCACTTGTCTTAAGGATTTAAAGAAAATCTTCCAGTCATGTCTAAATGCCACAAAGCTCTGAGCAACTTTAAAATACCTACACTTGTACACAATGTAACATTTACCTATAAATATTATTACATACAAATTCACCACCTTTTTCTTGCATAGAAACACCAAAGTGAACATTATGATATTCAGACCCAGAGATGAACTAATCAATGCACTTCATTCTGAGCGGTAACCAGGCGCCATCAGTCCGCAGCATTAGAGCTTCAGCCTTCATTCGTTCATTTAACGGTTCAATATGACAATAACATGTTAATGTGCAATCCATCCTGACATCCTGACTGTTTCTTTATAAACTATAGGCCTACAGTGTGATATTGTGGCGTTACAAGGAACAGCTGCTTACCTGAAGACGGAGTCTCTTTGTTTGAGTCTTTTTCCTTCCGGGTACGAAGTTCTACATGACGCACCTGTTGGATTCTACCTGCCTCCTTAGTTCGCAGTTCAAACACACGGTCCTCCTCTTCCTCCTCACTTATTATAAAACTAATAGAGACTCCACACTCCATGTAGAACCGTGTGGAAATGGTACAGTAGCTCCACATTTAGCTATTGTTAGCTCACAGCTGGAGAAATATTTTTTTTTTGTCATCTTTGTATGGAAGATCATTTCCGCCAAGAAAAAAAATTGTCTAGAATTTTGAGTATGGACTTTGTTATCTGAAAACAGGAGTACCCACACATCCCTGCAACATGTAAATTACAGAACCCTGGCGTGATGTCAGCCAAAAAGTACAAGAAAATAATTAATACCCATTAATGATGATCTTAATGAACAACACAGGCATAATAACAGTGTATTAATATTGCAATGTGACATGTCAGCCAAAAAGTTGCAAAAAATAAAAAATAAAGACCCATACATTAATGATCATCTTAATTAACAGCACAACTGTATCAATAACACATCCATACAGCACCGTGATGTGAGTCAGCCAAAATGTAAAAAAACTATTATATATTGATGTCAGGGACCAGAAGGGATGGTGTATAACACGGGGAAAAAAAATAAAGAAAGAAAATAAAACTAAGCATTCAAATGTATGGAAGTATACTTGTGGCACTTGCGGCCCTTGAGGTAGGAGTGCGGCAGTGACCCAGCACCCCTGCTTCCCTTAGCTATAGAACAAGGCAACTGATTTATAATAAAAATTTACAAAGACATTGTTACTTTAGCTGTCTTTTTTTCTAATGTACAAGTTATTTTATAATTCTTAAACTGTGAAGATTTGCTTTGATTTCAGGATTGTGTTTAGTTTTTAAATTAAATGTCTTTTTTGTCTACGTTCACACTGCAAACCCTAGCACTCAATGTTTTTTGGTGACCTGCATGATGAATGTCAATATATATAATAACCATTTGACCTTTGCCATTATTTTGTGCCAAACAAATGTTATTTTAATTGTATATTAGGGGGTAGTTTAAATTAATGAAACAACTAGACATAAGAATACGAAAAATACTGCATGGCGTATTAAATTATTTTTTATTATCACTACATATATAACGTTAATATATATCATTATAATACACTTTGGGAAGATTTGATTGGCTCAGCAGTGTGGGTAGGCGGCACCCAACATACACGGAAATGTTCCCTGACAGACAGCGTTGGTGACCAATAAACGCATCATACTCTGTCATCGTCACCTTTTTGCTTACGTGGAGGCAGGAAGCGTACTTCCCCCGGTTTTCCGGGTTGGAGTTCCTGCAGCAGAAGTTGTTTTGGAGGTGCGATGGCCGAGGATCAGACACTACCTCTCCGGGTCTCGGAGATCCAGGACCCGGCGGTTCTCTTCGAGCGATACAACACCGAGCAGATCCGCCGGGTCGAGCGCAAGGTTCGCGGGGAGATCGAGCAGAAGAAGGAGGAGCTGAGGCAGATGGTGGGGGAGCGCTACCGGGACCTGATCGACGCCGCCGACACCATCGGAGAGATGAGGCAGTGCTCGGAGAGCGTCGTCCAGTCCATCCAGGACATGCACCAGTACTGCCACAGGCTGAAACAAGGCAGAGCCAGTGTGGGCAGCAGCAGACAGGAGGTGAACGGCTTAGCTAACTTTCTCTGGTGTAGTGTTAAACATCACCGGGTGAGCTCCGTCATCTTAGGAACATCAAACTTCATTAAACAAAATTAGCATTTGATGCTTTCATCCCATATAAATGATATGCAAACACACACTCCAGTTATAACATTAGTTTACACTTAATGAACGTCAACGCAAAACGCTGAACAATTCGGCGTGAAAAGATTGCCACACAGAGCATGTCTGTTTCTTTCCACGCCTCTTTGGAACCAAAACAAACAGCAGCGACCTCCCACAAGTTCCTATCTGGTTGCAAATGAAGTGCTAATGGGGAATCATTTGTCAGCCGAATTTACCTCAAGACCCCACTGATTAATAAACTACCTGAACATTTACTTGGACAGGTGTGTATTATTGCTAACAAGCAACATGAAGGGGAACATTTAAATTATTATAAATGTTATGGACATTGGGGACATATCTTCATAAATTAATAATGGAATGCACTAAGTTTAAAACAAAATCAGCTTTATAGATGATTCTTTACAATTGCATATATAACCTGAAATTCATTATATTACTGTAAATCACTAGCTACTAGCCTACTACATGCTGTATATAAATATAATGTGTCTGTGTTGTAGAGTCAGAGGCAGTGGCAGGAGAAGTTCTACACCATGGCCTCCCAGATTAAGCTCCTGTTGGAGATCCCTGAGCGCATCTGGAGTGCCATGGAGGCGTCCCAATACCTCCAGGCCACCCAGCTCTACTTGCTGTGCTGCCACCTGCACAGCTTGCTGCAGCTGGAGGCTGCTACAGGAGGCCACTACAGCCCCGTCCTGGCCCGCTTCCCCATCCTGGTCCGTCAGGTAGCGACCACAGGACACTTCAGGTACGGGATGTCATCATGTAAAGTTATAATGGAGAAACTCCAGGCATCAACATTGAAAAAACTAGTGATGGATCCACATGCAGTAGTCCTAACAAGATCCTGTTTAGTTAGTGAAAGCTAAGTCGTAGATCACTAACCTGTCTTTTCTTTACAGGTCCACCATTCTCCTGGACAGCAGGTCTCTGCTGCGGGGCCGGGCAGTGTCGGACCAGGCCATCGCTGAGGCCTTGGTGTCCACCATGCTGCTGGAGGACAGCTCACCACGCCAGGCCTTGGCTGACTTCCTGCTGGCCCGGAAGGCCTCTATCCATCAGCTGCTCAACCAACCACAGCATGGTATTTAACCATCAGTAGAACCTGCCAACATGTATGCATTTTAATGTCAGAGTGTGCCATAACACATTTTTTACCCAAAAGTAATTAGGCGAGAAATTTAGCTTGAAGGCTTTTACTGTGAAACAGAACAGGAAATGTTTGCAGTATCATTATCATAGATGTCTACTGGTTCATAAAGGTGTGTATTTGGTCCAGGTGCGGGGATCAAGGCTCAGGTGTGCAGCCTGGTGGAGCTGCTGGTCACCACTCTCTTCCAGGCCTACGCCGTCTTCTACCTGCCCCCAGAGGGAGGCCCCAGGCCGGGGGAGGGGGCCCTGAGCTGTGGCATGCTTTTTTCTATCCTGGAGAACGTCACCTCCACCACACCTGCAGGTAAACAGCTGAGAAGTCCTGGAAGTCAGGATAATTCTTTCCTTACTGAGAGTTATTAAAAATGGCTGTATGCAAGAATGGTCTCTTATTTTTCCCCATAAACCCTAGGGTGTTTTATCTCGATTTCCACTTCTGTTATTATTTTTTTGGCATAGGCACTACCTGTCATATATTGTTATTTTTAGAATAAGTTAGGCTCAGAAATGCTTTTATTTGGCTTTTCAGTCACAATTAAGTTTTTGTGTCTATATGTCTATAGGTTTTAAAACATTCAACTAGTATTTTAAGATAAAGGAGAGTATCAGTGTTTCAGAGCTGTACAAAACATGGATCAGTGTGTTCTGATTTGACCCTTCCTAAGTTCCGCCCCTTTTTGCTAAAATATGCTATGTAATAAAAGCAACATCTTAAGTTAGCTAGCTAATGTTTGCAGAATTGCAAGCTAATGTTAGCAAAATTCTAGCTAACTAGCCAGCTAATTTATCTATTGCTAGGTAGCTAGTTAGCAAACTTATTGCTCACATTCGCGAACTAATAGATAAGTCTCCCAAACCTAATGTACATAAATATAATTTTTTTAAAGACTGGGATGATGGACCCTTTCCTAAGTCCCTCCCCTTTTCAGTCTGTATTCCAATTAGGTAGCCCACGGAACCTCTGTCAACTTCTCCTTTCCTGGAATATATACCCAACATGCAAAGAAAAATGGAGAATGACATTTTTTTTTGACTGGAAGTTCATAGGAGGTTTGAGATGTAGTTAGTAGTTAGAAGGACAAAGATTGAATTGACCCTTCCTAGTTGAAAAGAGAGTGTGTGGAGCAAGGGCCAATACCAGCCAAACGTTTTGGAAGCAACTTAAGGTTTCGGTTCAAAAACCACTACCTTTGCGTTCCAAAGAACAAGAAAAAAGAGAGTGGTACTAGGCATGGCTGGAATGATACAATGAAAGCAAGGTTTGAGACTATGCGGTTCAAATCGCCAGATCTCATGTTCCGCAGACAAACGTGTACTCATACTGGTTGCCATGCGGGGCCGTCCGCGAGTGGGGCAGCGCCTTGTCAGCGAGGCTCCTAAGTGTGCGAGGCTCGATCTTTGGGACTGTTGATATTATTAGTTTCGGTTTTTGCTTTTTATATTTCACAATTTGCCTGGCCTTGCTCACATCTGCATCACTTCTATCCAAGTAGATATGAGAGGGTATTTACTTTACCCAAACTCGTTTGATTCGAGAAAACAACTGTCCTCACGCTTGAAGAGCAAAGTCCTGGGCCGTGCTGGTTTCCCCCAGTTACCTGACCGAGCGGTGAGGAGACCCTATTCGTGGCCTGCAGAGCCGGCGCAAAAAGCTATAAGGCAAGGAATTGGCGAAGAATGTGGCAATATAAACCCCTCTGTTACCATGGAAAATGTTAACTCATACAGAACGGAAAATCGACGAACTTGAGGGGCTTGCGCTGTGTGAAAAAGTTAAAATCGTACAGGGAGTGCAGGTTTGCTGCTGCTTCATGAAAACGTGGCTGGGCTCTAATGGCTAACCTTCCAGACGTTAACGTTGAGGCTACCCGGGCCTTCGGGAGCACAGGTCAGGGTCGGACAGGCAGACACTAATGCGCCTGGTGGGAAGGCGGAAAGGAGGCGGACTAGTGCTAGTACGGGTGAACACAAGGGTGGGTGAACCCGTGGAGCAGTGTGATACATCAAGATTTTCCATTCTGCACAGGGCACGTTGAGCTGCTGGCGCGTTAGGGTTTGCGGACGCCCTTCTGACTTGCCCCACGGAGTTTGGACACGCCGATTTGGTGTATTGGTTATATCCCACCACGTACTGACGCTGGGTAGTCACGTCCATCCACTCCGCTTGTAGTCGGACTACAAACACAGCACCCCGGGGGAGGCTCTGGTGTTAATCTCTGGGGACTTTATCACCGTGGATCTGCGCACAAACACTACCGCTTTCTTCCAGTATGTGGACTGCTTACACCAGGGGGAAATAAGACTATTGATCT